CCCCCCCCCCCCGGCTAACTAATTTCATTCCGCAAGTCTTTAATTAGTATTCGTCGCGGGGCGTCCAAACTTTTTCACTAGGAGAGGGCTTGCAAACTCGACCTACCCGGATTGTTCACCCGTATTTGCATAGGCCAAATTCGCAGAAAGTACTTTCTTGCTGGCCACCTTTACGCGGTTAATATTCCCCGACGGACGTATCCTAAATTTCTCATAAGAGAAAATAATGGTTCCGAAGAACTTCCCGCTGGCCTGCTCCCTCCTTTCCACCACCCGCCGTAAATACCCGACGCGATCCTGACAGTCGCCGAGCGCCGAGTGTACACCGACCACAATTAAAAACGCGCGACCGCGTGCGGATTACTTTAATTTACAATGTTCGCGCCTCGAACTTTGCCACCCGCATCTACGTGTATATTTTGGAGCTTCGCGCGGTAAAGCGCCGCTGCATCACGCCCGTTTCGCCTCGTCCTGGTCGCATCTTATTTCCTGCAACCGCAACCCGCCCCCGACGTGATCTCAAAATTCATTTTCACTTCGACTACGAGATCGACCTACGTAATATCAGGGTTTAGAAATTCGCGAGAAGCGTCTTGATTCCTCTAATTAAGTTGCTCTAAAATGTAAAAGAGGACGCTGGTTATAGTATCGCGATGGTACCCGTACGAAACGGTATCTGCGGTTTATCGAGCGTGCGATAAAAGCATCCGATTTCCATTCTGTCCATTCTGTGCTCCGACGTCGTTTCGCCACATGCATCTTTTCATTTCGTTTCGACAATCACCACGCGTCATTCTGTCACGCGCGAGCGATTTATTATTTTCCCCGATATTCAATATCGAAGACTCTCGAATTAAATAGAATTACAAATTAACAGACTGTCGCGGCAAATTTGGATGTTCTCTAACTACGTTGAATTTTTCTCCGATCTGATTTTTGTGGTCGCGAAATATTTAAAAGCTTTTTCATGTGAATTTATTACTCAAACTAAACGTTAAAGCGGTTATCTGTGGAAAAATTCTCAGCTTCTATTAAACCGAAACCCTGTTCGTTTGATCAAATATGTTCAACCGAACTTTGCGTCATTTTTCCTCGACGGCTTCTATATACCCGATTAAACGTGAATTCACTCTCAAGTACGTCATTCGCATAGAAGTATACAAAATCTTGTTGGCGATCTCTCGCGAGCTCTAACAAAACTCCTCGAGCTTTGAGTGGACGACTTGGCACGCTCCAGGCAAATTCTTGCATTATGTCGATGGCCAATCGCGTTCGACTAACATAGGTACGTGTACATAGGTACGACATCGATTTCCGCGCTTCAAAGTCGCAGTTTCGCATAATATCACGTACCAGCTCCGTAGCATCGAGTACGAACTTTTTGTAACTGCTTTACAAGAGTTCGCAAAGCGGCGCAACTCTCCTAACCGATTATAAGAGACATTTGTGAGCCTCCAAACTAAATAATTCCCAGACAAATTTCCAACGCCTCAAAAGGGCACAACGATTGAAGAAAAGTGTCTCTGTTTTACGCTCACTAACTCAAGATATCATAACTCAAGATATCATAACAATTAATGTCGTAAAACATTCCGGATCTCCCAAGAAGTTTTTCTTCAAGCCTCGACGTAACGGCAACACTCGAGTATTCGCAACATCAAAACACAATGGCCCATATAGTTTTACACCTGGAGATTCGGTCCTTCAATTCGACGGAATCTGCGAGATCAGCGCGAAAGCAAAATTTCAGCCCGGTCTGTCATGTTTTACGGGGCGTATCGATACAATTTACCACAATGCCGGAATATAGAAGGCGCGCAATGCGTGAATTCGCGCATCTGCCATAAAATATGATATCAAAAGCTTAGACGGGTAAATAAGTTCGAGCGAGACGATAAAGGCAAAACAACGCCGGCGGAAAATAAAATCGAGAGGTACCGAGAGAGAGAGAGAGAGAGAGAGAGAAAGCCCGGGACTACGCGCGGACGCAAGCACACACACGCCCGCACGGTAAAACGCATTCAAAGAAAACAGGAGAGGTTCCGGAGCGCAAGTTTATCGGATGGCGTTTTACTCGGCTGAATTACACGGCGGGAGTTTATACGGCCCCCGGACTTTTCCGCTCTTCACTTCTGTATCTTTCCAACAACATCCCGTGCGGTTACACCAACCCTCATCTGCAAATCCAAAACGCGGTGCGCCATAACCGCCGCGCCGAGGCTTATATCTGCATACCCGGGCGAAACGGGGAAGATGCGGCGACCGCCGCGCATCGAGAGCCTCGGAGTTATACATACTTCAACAAATATCGACGAGCTGGCTGCTGCGCGCGCGAATAAACAAACGGCGAGGGAGAGAGGGGATAATTTGTTTGCATCGCGCGTGCGGAGCAGATCCTCGCGCGTTCCCGCGCCGTGTTTGTCCCCGCATAAGCGAAAAGCGGTCTAACGCGAGAGCGATATCAAATCTTGGTCATAATAATCGCGCGGAGGGAAGAGAGGGAAAAACGGAAAGGAAGTTAGGGGGAACAGTTGGGTCGTGCCAGCATTTAATTTGACTGAGCCCCGAAGTTATCCGGCAACTGGGCCAATATTTTATAGCCGTGGCAATTAGATAATTTTGCGGTCAGGCAAAAATATGATTGCTGGCGTGTGAAAGGACAAACTTGGGCGCGGGTTAATGTCGAAAGTTTGTATCGCCGCCGACCGTCGTCGGATCGCACGTAGTCGAACCCGGGGACTTGTGCGGGGCCACCAAACGGGACGATGACGTACACATATTATCCGGACGACGCGCGATATATCACGATAAATGCGGTATTCATCGCCGGTTCGGGGCGAGTTTTACGTTTCCCGTAGCTCCCGTAACTAAAGTCGCCGGTTCCCGGTGATCAAAAACGGCCCCCCTTCGCCTCTCTCGTGCGCGGAGACGCGATTAAAATGTATTTCGCTCGTTTTTCAAAGAAAACAATATCCACCGTCGGCGGTGGCATTTTTATTTTACAAAGGTATTCTCGCGGCGTGTCACGATGATGCGGTGGCCGTGCAGCGCGAAATACGGATAATTAAAAAATGGGACG